CGCGGAGGTGATCGCAGCTGCGGTTCCGGTCGAGACCCGCTCGAGGTGGCCGATCCCTCGGCCTTGTCGTCAATGGAGCCTGAGGTAGCCCCTGACTTCTTCTTTAGGGGGGTCTTCCTCGGGGGAATGTTGAAACTGGGCACCTCTGCAAGAAAATGACAAAAACATTAACAGAGGATAATTGAAACAAACACAGAAGGATGTCGAGGCATTTGAACGATTTAGTCGAAGATTACCTGGGTCATTCTCGATCTGGATAAGATCGAGGATCTCATCACTGGGAGGGGGACAAGTCTTGTGGGAGAGAAGACCACAATAGCGAAGGAGGTTCTCATCCCTAAGAAGTTTCTCGGACGCAACGGACTTGGAGTTCCAAGTGAAGACCCGTTGGTCGAACAGTGGGTTGGGAGGAGGGGCCGAAGCCGCCTCTCGCGAAACCTCCTTGACCCAAGGGACGGATAGCCAAGGAAAAGGAGCATCGGGCCGGACGAAGATAAACTTATCACTCCACTTGGGGAGATTGGAGGGGATATCATTGATAAAGTGGGCGCCATAGCGGCTCTTCAAATAGAGGCCACGACCTTGCTTAGAAGGGACGTATCAATAATGGAAGAAGTCTAGGTCGAATCGACCTAAACGGACGAGACAGAGGATAATAAAGATCGTCATAGAACGAATGGAGTTTGGGGGGAGTTGGTGCAGAGAAAGCCCGAACCATTCACAAATCTGAAGAAGTTCAGGGCACAGGGGAAAGTGAAGGCCGAGCTTAAATTGGATTTCGAAAAAGGTATAACAGTCCCTCGGAGGATGATCGTATTTATCAGAAAGAAGAGCTAAAGAACGCCCAACCGAGAGGTTGGCCGATCTTTTCAGGATCATACCAAGGATGGGAAAGAGAGGTAGAAGATGGACGCCTCGAAGAAGCCTTAGAGAGTTTTTTGGTCGAGGCCTTATTGGAAGGAGAGTTAGAAGTACCAGGCTGAGAAGAATAAGGAGGAATGTTTGAAGAAGGAGCAGACGCGGGTTGAGGAAAAATGACCTCGTCCTCCTCGGGCTCGTCTAAAGCACCGAGGGCAAGTCGACGGTGGCGGAGAGGAACGTTATCCATAGTGTCCCCGGAATTGGAAGAAGCAATATGGGCGGTAAAAACACGAGTAGGAATGGTATCGTCGGGCCGAAGGATAAAAAGAGGAACAGCTTCGAGGGCTGAGGGCAAGATTTGAACCGAGTCGGAGGAGGTGGTCGAAGTAGCAGGATCTGAAAACAAGAAAAAAGAGGAGAAGAAGAAGATTCCTGAGTTAGGGTTCTACGGAGAGGTGATTTTGTAAAAATTAAAGAAGGAAAACAAGGATTTTGAGGGATTTTAGAAGGGAAAGGGTAAAACTCACAGTGATTAATCAGCAGAGACAGACATTCAACACATAGATTCACAACACTCAAACAGCAAACTTAGACACCCAATTCAAAAAATTCAAAACACAAAAGCTCAGAAACAGGAAAAGTAAAATCAGGCAAGAAGCGTCTTACTCATAATCGCGGATGAGAGATTTGGGAGAACTTGAAGATCGCAAGGGAAATCGCCAAAAAAGATTAGGGTTTTTTGTAGAAGAAGTTGTAAGCACAGAAGAGCCTAAAATTTGCAAAGGTGGAAAAAATCGGAAAATTTCTCTAAGTGTGGAATTTATACTGGGAAGGTTAAAGGGTGGAAGATGAAGACCGTCGGATTAAAGCCAGATCTAACGGTAGAGAGCATTAATTTACACAGCACCAAAAAGGGGCGCGTTATACGAGGGGGCGCTATCATTAAAAATGCCTGACAAACGCGGCAGACGCGACGCGTGGCAGAAAAGCAGGCGCGACAGAAAGGACATGTGACAGACGACCTTATCTCTGGCAATTAATGAGGTAGTATTTGAAAAATAAGTGAGAAATCCATGAGATGGTCGATATCGGACACCATGCTATTCAAGAGGTCGATAGACATAAATCCACTCTTAGATCGAGTCGTTCAGACTCGACCAGAGTAGGGGGGACTAGATGATATGGGATATTATACCCACAAGGCTAAATCGGTCTATTGACCAGTCGAGGAAGTCGTATTATGAGGAAAGTCAAGAAAATCGAGCAGTTTAACAGTCGACCAACAAAGCTGTCGACCAAACTATCCTTCGACCAGATGAACGATCGAGTAGTTCAGTCGGCCTCGACGCCCTCTGAGACAAGAAGTTCCGGTCCACTTTGAGGACTTAACGCTACACGGATCGGCCTAGTCACAGGCGCGTGAGAGAGCCTCTAACTGAATTTCAGGAGAATATTTACCCCATGTGCAGGGGGACACGTGTCGAGAAGGCAGTGGTTGATAGCGATAACCACCTCTGACAGCCTACCCCATGTGCAGGAGGACACGCGTCCAACGGGGATTGGTGCAGGCGATAGTGGCGACGGCTACCTCTTGTACGGACGGGCAGTTAGGGCAGGCAGCTCATCAAATCCGGGCAGCCCTTAGTCAGGTATCTCACCCCTATATAAAGTGGGTGAGCCTTTCTTCTTCAAGACGATCATTCTATTACTTACTCTTGAGAATTGATTGGATATACACTGACTTAAGCTTCGGAGGCTCTTCACCGGAAAACCCCTCCAGTGTGAGAGTTCTTTGTAGGTGCACGACGTTCAACCGGCGAGAAGGAAGGCGATTATTCAAGTTCCAGCCGGTCGGGAAGTTCTTTGTAGTCCCTGTTTTTTTTAATCCGCTCATTTTCAACTCGGTAATGAATTTTAAAATAAAAAATATTACTTAAATTTGAAATTCATAAATACTAATTTAATAACAAATTGAATGGAAAATGTAGGATTCTGTTGGAACAATTCATTGAGACCGAATAATTCATATGATTAGACCGACTTTTATGACAAGAGTGTTTGACACTTTTCTCAGAGTTATATGATCGTATGCAGTGGCGAAACCAGGATCCCGTTTCGGGGAGGGCCTAATTTGCCTTTAAAAAAAATTCACAACAAAACCAAACACAAACACAAATTTTCTCCGATACAGCTTCCCCTCCATGGCTCCATGCCTCCATGCTCAGCTGCTCTGTGTTTTTGGATTCTGGATTTCCGGTGGCGCCCTTCCGGCCATCCCGCAGCGCACCACCCCCACTCCGGCATCGGAAGGGCGCTCAAAGGGCGCCCTTCCAGTTCCAGCAAAACCCCCCACCCTAGTTCGATTTTTTTTTTTTTTTTGGAAGGGCCAGCACCTCTCCGAGTGTGTGTGTAGTTTCGCCCCTGATCGTATAAGCATTAGAGTAGCAAAAGCATTCAATGTCATGTTTAATTTGAGTTTTTATGAAAATAACTTGACGTTGACTTTCATTCTCTAATGGACTTGTATTTAATCGAATCAACTTCATCACGCATGGGATCATGATGTTAGTGCCATAGCTAAATTCAATTTCAATGCATCAATTAAACCATTAATACTATATTAAGCCTTAATTTTAATTGATCCAATAAACGTACCAAAACACTTATCAATAATTGACCACACAACATTATCAGAGTTATATAATTCGTGTGAACATTAAAGTAGGAAAAACATTGAAGCTCATTTAATTTGATTATTAATGAAATTGCTTTATCGTTGACTTTCATTTTCTAATGAACTTGTACTTAATCGAATCAATTTTATCACGGTTGGGATCGTGATATTAGTGACATAGCTAAATTCATTCAATGCAACAATTAAGCCATTAATACTATATTAAGCCTCAAGTTTTATGGATCCAATAAATGTATCGAAATACTCGTCAATAATCGACCACACAACATTATCAGGTTATATGATTCGTGTGAGCATTAGAGTAGGAAAAACATTCAAGCTCATGTTTAATTTGAGTATTAATGAAAATCTCTTGTCGTTGACATTCATTCTCTAGTGGACTTGTATTAATCGAATCAATTTTACCACGCTTGGGATCATGATGTTCGTACCATAGATAAATTAATTTTCAATGCAGCAAACCATTATTACTATATTGAGCATCAAGTTTAATTGATCCAATAAACGTATCAAAATATCCATCATTAATTGACCACTCAACATTAATCATCACCAAATTTTTTATGCTTAGAGACAAATTAGTAGTTAATTGGCAAATATAATTCATCAAAATATATGTCTTAATGCAACTAAACATCTCATGACTAATCGTAATATCAAACAAAATCTCTAAAAGTAGCACAAATACGGTTCTTAAATCTATGGTGCAACATAGTTGTTGAATATTGTTAGAATATCATTGTGAGTTGTCTCATATTGTTTTCAAAAAAAAAAAAAATGAGCCTAGTTATAAGTTTAGCAGGCTACTTCTCCCATCACCATTTAGTTTCGAGATGGAGTCTCATTAATGTTCACATAGGTTCACTCTCTTATAGTGTGTATGAAACGAACACGATGAGCATAGCCTGAACCTAACCCTAAATTTGGGCCACATGGATCAGGTCAAATTTGAGTTCACTGACTTGGTCCACCGGGTTTGAACCGACTACTGTATCATTTTTATTTATTTATTTATTTTTTTAAAATAAAATTATGTATAGATATATGTGACAAATATTCATGACAAGGTAAAATATTTTAAATTTATACAATTTTACTATTATATATACTAGTATGTATATATTTATTTTAAAATAAAATTATGTATTTACTATATATGTATTAATATATTCATGACAAATAGTACATATAATTTTACTATATATAATACTATATATACACAATTAGTATATATATATAATTTCTAACTATAAGATAATAAGTTATAATTTATAACATAATAATATCTAAATTCTAATATAATTTATATGAAAATAAAAATTGCGCGGCGTACCGACAAAACTGGCCGTGCACGATGCGACCAACTGGCAAAACCGACCTTGCATGGTTACGGCCGATTCCTCGGGCCGGCTGGCGGGAGAATATATTTTACTTTTTTAAGAAAATGTCGGGGGCAAAGGTGTCTAAGGGATGCGGTAAGTAGTAAAAGGTGGCAGTGTTTAGTATTCACTAAAATTTAGGATATGTTTCCGTTTGCACGCATTCGGATGCTCCAATTTTCGACTACATGGCTCTTCAACGTTTGGGTAATTTTAGGCTCCGTCTATGCGGATTGCACAACTACTAGAAAGATTTTTTTATTGTATTTTTAAATAATTTTAATAGAAATAAGTTACATTTTGATTTTTACAAATGAAATACTTCATGACTATAAAAGACATATTTATGTTAAAACTAACATAATATTTAGAAATGTATTATATTTTATAAAATTCTTATTTAACCATATTAAATAGTATATTTACATAATGTATATTGTGAGTCATACATGATAAATATAAATACTTTTTTTTCGACCCGCCAAGGTCCGCTCTAACACTACCAACACTTGAATAGACACTCAACCCCGACTCTTTCACCTAGCGAACATCTCGCGTTTCTTAAATCATTCATTACACTATTAAATGACATTTATATTCATGTTATATTTTAAAGTATGACATTTTTTTAGTGAAAATATAGATATTATTAGGATGCTATGCCACCATAATTAGTTGATTAAAGTTTGTCAGAGTGGGGAAATTACAATTGATTACTTAATTTCTCTCTACCCCATGGGTAGTTCTCATAGGAGAGTTTAAGTCGTCGTAGACACGTATCCCCACATAGGTTTGTGCACATGTGACGACTAAAATCCTCGTGGGACACTATTTTCAGTAGAGGTGAGCAAAATCGAAACGAAACCAAGAAGACGAACCAAACTGTGCAATTCAGTGCTTCTCAATTTTTTTATTTTTTATTTTTTTCAAAAATTTTGCTTCCGTTTTAGTTCGTTTTTCCCCTATATTACGGTGCAATAGTTATAGTTTTCATAAGGTCAGTTTTTTATTTTGTTTGGCATTAAACTGCACCAAATAGAATATAATTTATAGAAAACATAGAAATCGAGTGAAACTATGCATTTGAATGCGATTCGGTTCGCTTATTTTTGTATAATAAATGTTTGGTTTCAATTAGTTTTTTTTTTTCTAAGTTGCGGTGCAATTCTTTTTTTTTCAGCTAAATTTTATTTATTTATTTATTTATTATTATTATTATTATTATTAATTTTTTTTTTTTGTTGCGGTACATTGTGGTTTTTCATCTAACTTCACTGTGAATACCCTGCCAATTGCCATCATTTTTACAGCACAAAATGCAATCATGGTAAAATGGAAGAACAAACGTTAGAAGTTTTGCCCCATTGAAGCCGCTTTCTATGCTTACACACGAATGATTATTTACCAAGATGAAGAAGAAGAATAAATGTGTGGGTACAATTGGATTTCGACACTTGATTCAAAATGAAAATCACTACATAGATAAAATTTTGAATCATAATAAGTGATCACGAGTCATATCAAAACCAACCTCAAAGCACATAAAAAATTTGTGGTTGTTTTAATTATGTCGTGTGGTTTACAATCTACGAAACACAAGAGTATAGTGTTGTTACGGAACCATTTCGTTGAAATTTGTAACCGTTATATTTTTATTTATATTAGTGTAGCATGTGCATCCAACTGCTACAAAATTCAAACGGAATGATTCCGTAACGAAATTGTAGTATTTTCAAGAAACACATTATGCAAGTTATTTCATATTTTGTTATTTTTATTTATATTTATTTATTTGTTATTAATTTTTTATTTTTATTTTTTTGAAACAAACATGTATTAGATTACTGGAAAAGATCCAATACCAATTGAGATAAAAAGTTTGGAGGGTCACTCCATCAGAAATATTATTTATACTAGTACAATACCCGTGTATTACACGGGTGCTTGTTAAAAAATTATTCTTAAATTTTAAAATTAATGAGAAAATTATATTAAATTTAGTTTACTTTTTTACAAAAAAAAAAATATATTACTATATATTTTAGAATGATATGTGTTACTTATGACTTACATGTGTTATATTATATTAGTTTTTATAACTTATATCATATAACTACTTGAAATATAAATATATTAGTTGATAAATAATTTTATTTTTCTAATTAATATTAAAAATAATTTTATTATTGTTATAAAGATAAATATAAATTATTTTTTTTATACATACAATATGGATGTTAAATCGAAGCTTATCAAAAGAAGATTAATTTGATATATTACATATGTAAAACTGATAAAAAATACAAAAGTTATTAACTTTTAAAATATATATACAATTCAATAGTTATAATAAGGAATGATATTAAAATACAATTAATACATGTAACATGACCATAAATAATCAACATATTTATGGTAATCCGAACCTAATTATTTTTAGTTTGGTATTAAATTAAAATCTACCCAAGCCTAATAATGAAGCATGTAATTTTGCCACATAGGATTCCGAAGCACCAAAAGCAGCCACGTAGACTCAGCGCATTCTGTATTAATATATATAGGGGGGATTATAATATTAAATTAAGAATTTATATTGTGCAACATATAATTCGATAAATCAATTGGTAAAATAAAAACTGTTTATGTATATCTTAACCTTATTCTTGACCAACTCCTAAAAATGTTAAAAGGAATATTTAATTCACAATAAATTACAAAATATTACTTTTATGTCACATTTCCTCACCACATCCTAATCCAATTTATAATTTCATCTAATTAGTTAATTATAATAATCTTAATAAAGGGAAATGCTACGGTTCCGTTACAGAACTATTCCGTCGGGGTTTGTAACACTTAAATCATCATTTAACCGTCGGAGATATTTGATCTAACGATTACAAGCCCCGACAGAATGGTTCCGTAACTGGACGTAGCATCTCTCCTTGATAAAATATTGTTTGGTATGGCCCTGTTTCCCTCCTATCTCTCTCTATCAAGTTGACCTTTTTAGCACTATATATATCCCTCTGCCTAACTCAAAATTACTCACTACTCACTAGTCACTTGTTCCCAATAGTTCTTGTTCTGCTGTGAAAGAAAGGTAACTTAATTAATATTTACATTTGCATTTAAATTATGTTAATTAATGATTTGTTTATTTATACTTTATCCTATTTTATTAATTAGTTACATGATCCAAATGTCAAAACTTTTATTTTATTTTTTTTCAGAAAAAATAATTAGCAGAAAAGAAAAACATGGAAGAAATGAACTCGAGGCTATACATGGAAAACTGCTACATGCTGCAAGAAAATGAAAAGCTAAGGAAAAAAGCTGAGCTTTTGAACCAAGAAAATCAGACCCTTCTACACGAGCTCCAGCGGAGGCTTGCCGTGGACCCGAAAACGCCCGGAAATTCCTCCGGCAAGGCGAAAAACAGAGGATCGAAGCTCGTCAAAGAATGATATTTTATTTTAGTTGACATTTTTTTTTTTTTTTTTTTTGGGGGGGTGGTTGTTTGTAATTTACATATTTTGTATCCTTAAGTACTATAGTTGACACTTGGTTAGCATCTACTTTTCTTGTTTTTAATTATTGTTTTGGGTATTTTCAATTTTGTCCAACGTTTACTCCACTTTGACATTTTTCTACATGCTTCGTGCAATTCAATGGTTTTTAAAAGATAATGTAGATATATGTGTGTTAAGTGATTAATCAATTTTGTTAAAATATCATTTGTGAATTATTTTACATTGTTTATATATAAATAATAGACATAACTTATAAGTCTAGCAAACTACTCATTCTATTCATTCTTGACTTTAGGGAAAGCTCCGATTTAGAGCACCTACAATGCTTTGAGTCTTTTACAAATATATCATATGTCACGTAGGAAATAGACTTGGTCTAATAAAAAATACTTTTCAATGCGATTAAAAGAAGATTAGGTCTAATTTATGTGACAATCAAAAAAATGAGACCAAGTCTACATTTAAGTCTATTTTAGACTCAGGTACAAACCCGACCAATCAGCATTTATTCCTAATTTAATTTTTCTCTTAATATAGAAAATATTTTAGAGTATTTTTATTGGTTGAGAAATATTATAGACATAGTATTTTGTTTTCGCACTGGATGACTTTTAAATTTTTTTACTTGGGTTTGTCCATGTCATTTAAGATTTAAGTTCATTTATATGTCAAAAATGTAAAATTGAACCCAAAGCATTGTGGATGTTTTAGGGAGAACTCCTATTCCTAGGTTTTAGGAAATAAAGTCTTAAAAAAGAAGACTTCAATTTGATTGTTCCATAATTTTTAATATTTATCTCTTTAATAATTATTTAAAGAGATAATTAGGACAAAATTTTGGAAAAGAAGACTTCAATTTGATGGATCCTGTTTGTCCCATTTTTGTGTCTTTATTTTCGCTTTATTTTCTCTTTATTTTTCCCTCTTATAGGATTTTCGTAGTTTATTTGGTCAAATTCTGTGATTTTTCCGTTCTTCTCTTTAGTTCGTTTTGTGCGTCTTTTTGCTGTGTTTTGCTTCGTGTTTTCTTCGTGTGTGTGTTTTCAGGAGGTAGGTTGTGTTGATCGAGGACGGGACTACTCGAGCTGAGACCGGGATATCAAGAAGACCCATTAACGTGCTCAGAATACTGAAGGAGGGACCGGAAAAACGAACCGATAAGCTGCTCAGAACAACTCGCGACTCGCGAGTCAGTGTCGCGACTCGCGAGGTTGTCGCGACTCGCGAGTCCAACAGAGCCGAAAGACGAGTTCCGCGAGACGAGTCGCGACTCGCGAGTCAATTTCGCGACTCGCGAAATATGTCGCGACTCGCGAGTCAGGTCGCGAGTTTCCCCAGAATTTATATATTTTTCGAAGACGCACGACTCGCGAGATGTCGCGACTCGCGACTCAGCAAAAGTGTAAGTCGCGACTCGCGACTTGCTCGGCACGAATTTCGAGGTCGGGATTTTAACATCAGATTTTCGACCTAGACTTTATTATTCACCTTCCAGACCTTGTTTTTTTACATTATTCTCTCTAGAAAACTCACTCTGTTCATTACTTTTACGCTTTTGATTCGTATTGGAGATTGAAAAACTCCTATTTACCGCTTTGGATTTGGATGCTTGTGGATTTCAACATTGGGATTCTCTATTTTAATCGTAAGTTCTTATTTTCTTCAATTGTTGAGTTGATGATGATGGCTTGGGTTAATTTGATTGTTCTTGTTCAATTCCACATGAGTAGCTAAATCCATACGCTAGGGATAGGGGATGATTGATTAGGTTCGATAATAATTGCTAGTTTCTGATTGTTCATATCTATTCAAGTTATGCTTATTCTAGGGTTAATAGATTGATCGCCTGTTTAACCTAACTAATCAACGTGTGGAACCGAGAGGGGAGACGTTGGTCGATATAGGCTTGTTTAGAGTAGACTTGTTCGTAACTGTATTGTCTATGCGTTGCGGGAACTGATAGTTAATCGTTTACATCCACTCTCTTGTTCGTAACTGTATTGAGAGTGAACCTCTGAACGAGAAGCAATTCAGGTCCTTAAACCGAGCAGTTGATTGCCGGTAGCTGTGGTAGAACCGAAGCAATTATCCCCGATTCCCTAGCTCTTTAATCATTGCGTGAATATCTCTGCTATTTTAATTGCTTTTCATTAGCTCAGTTTCTTAGTTGATAATCAAAACCAAACCAATTCGAATAGAGTGTTTAGGAATTTTTCTTCTCTTTTTCGTGATTGAATAATCGTGCAATTGAATCCGGCTAACCTTCCTTGCGATACGACCCGGTGTTGAATCTTTCGATTCTACTCCGGTAAAAATACTCACAACAGATCCATAATTTTAAATATTCATCACTTTAATAATAATTTAAAGAAATAATTTTTTATTTTAATCTCCACTAAAATGACATGTGACACTATTTAATTGTTTTCAAAATATACATGTGGAATTTTGTAATGGGCCAACAAATATAAACGTGACATTTTTTAATTGGCCTTCAAACTATACAAGTGACATTTTGTAATTGACTTACAATATATATTAAATAATCAATTAATTAACTATTTACTTTAAGAATTAAAGTTTGATTAATTTTAAAATAGAAAATAATTAAATTGATATGAACATGGCATTTGACTCTTGTCGGTATTTACTAGGCTCAAAATTTATCTGTCTACATATACTCTCTCGAGACTTGATCACGGACGACATGTCATGGAGTGAATAACTCACGAAATTTCAATCGGGCTTGGAGCAATGATGCAAATTTATGGGCATATGAGGACTTAATACTGGGCCTCGGTGTGCGCTGGGCTTCTCGCCTGGAATGGGTTGCGCACTAGGGATCCTTCTCCTCGCTGCTGGGTCGTCTGAGCTGAATGCTAGGGTAGCGCGCTAGCAAATACAAAAAGTCCCAAAAATTAACCTAATTTACATTAAAACTAACCCTTAATCTCACACAAATCAACCAGCATTTCACTTCACCCTGCCAATTCACCGAAAATTGATCACATAATCATAATGATAATTCACCTACAATTCACCTAAAATTGTTCACAGAAACAGAATGAAATTCACATAAAATCGTTCACAGAATCAGAATCATTCAAGTCTAATTCACCTAAATCAAAATCAACAAGAATCACGATGCAATTCCTCAGTCCCCAAGGCGTTTTCGGCCGCCGCCTCCCATCTCCCGTTCATATCTCCGGCGAGCTCGTCCCGTTCAGGTCGCCGTCGCCGTCTCTCTACTATTCCGACTCATCTTCTTCTGCAACTCATCTCCAACACATGAATCTTCTCTACAGAGGAGGTGGATGGCGAAGACGAGGCGAGGTTGCTGTGGCTGGGCGAATGAGGCGAAACGGCGGAATGGTGGTTGAAAGGAGGAGGCGATGTGGAGGTCGTCGACGACGGCGATTGTGGTGACCGTCGACGTGAGCGCCCTCCCCATGAGATCTGTGCGAGTTGTCTGACTCGGCGATTGGTGGCGGCAGCGGGTCTGACGACCACGGAGACATGATGGCGGGCTCATTACGGTGGCGGTGGCGTGCCGGAATCAAACTGTGGCCGGCCTGTGGTGAGCTGCCGACGACGTCGGGAGAGAAGACATATTTGTAGGAAGGGAGAGAGAAGAGAGAGGAGAGGGAAGAGATTTATTGTTGGAGAATTATGGGTGGGACCCACTTAATTTATTATTTTGTGAAATTACACCACTACCCTCTAAGATATTTATTTTTATATAAGATATTAATATATTTACAAATTTGCCACTAGGTTTGACCAGTTATAATCTAATTTTGACTTCATCATCACCACTACTCATATAATTGATCTAATTATCCATGATCATTCTTATTTCTTTCACTATCTACCATTTTCATACGATCCTTTCTCCATACATATATATTTAAAAATACTAAAATAAATGTATGATATTTTTCATCTTAATTTAAATGTATTTTTATTCGGATATACTCCACTCCTTTAACTGTTTGACTGATAATAGTTTCATAAAAAATATTCTTAATTATCTTTATTACTAGATTTGGTGACGCCGTGCACGCACGGCGGTCTAACACCCGGTGTAAAACTACTGTGAAAATTTGTCATAAGTTGCCGCTTTTATTCTAGCGTATGTTGATTTTGTTCCCATATATTGTTTCTTTTTTTTTTTCATGAAAATGTCTTAAGATTTTGCTCTCTTGAATTTCGCTAGTGGTTTATGAGTTGTGAAGTTGTTTAAGTCCGTATATATGCGCATGCATTCCCAAACTGAAATCGTGGTCGAAGTTATCTGCTTACGATTTTGTCTATTTTTTTTTTTTTTTCGAAACGATAGGGAAATCTCATAATCACCAAAAAAATAGTCTTACAAATCGGGGGTCGACTGACCCAATAAAGAGGAGAGACACACCCAGGTGCTCTGCAATCAAAAGAAACTAAAAAGGAATGAAAATGAAAAACTGAAACAACACTAAGGGAGGGTATAAACTGAAGGAAAAAAACAGAAAGCTAGAGTCTAAAACTAAAGGAAGATAATAAGAATCAAACGATGAGATCTCAGGAAGTAGCCAGACATAGCATGAACTTCTGAGTGACAAAAGATTGCTCCAAACAAACACAGAAAGCTTGAGTCTTGAACCACTGAACTTCATGAGAGAAGACCTAGCCAATATCATCTTTCTGCTTAAACGATTTTGTCTATTGATTCATAAACATTCTATGTGTTACGTGTGTTGTTTGTTTATGCTTTTATGCTGAAAATTGAATTTTAGAATTGGGAGTGAACGTACATTGGTCCTTGATCATTGATTAGAAATTTTTTATATACTTAAGGGTTAATGACGGAGATGTACTATTTAGTTGATTCTTTAATTAACCTACAATCATATTACATAGAGGTTGTATAATCATTTTGTAAATAAAAAATAATT